TCTGGCTCCGAGGCTGCAGCCTGGCTGCTAAAGCAAAACCAGACCGTTGATTGGCTGCCGCCTGCAGCGACCAAAGGTTTTCTTCTTTCCTCGTCGGAGGAAAAGGTCCTGAAATATAGTCCCTCTTTTGGACCGTTGATAAATGAGCAGTTAGTGTGATATTTTTCCTACTGCCTATACAAAGCCAACACAAAGATATGTAAAATAAAACGCATATTATTGTAGCCTACCCTTGTTTATGTTATTGTGCCAGCAAGGCTTTTCAGGTCCCCCATGTCACTGTTACTAGGCTATATGAAATGCTCGTGCATTACCATAAAATATATTGTTATCTAAATAATAATTAAACATTTTCCAGGAAGTTTACCCTGGCAGAGATTCAAGAACATCACGGTCAAATCTCGAGGGAAGGGCTATTATCTTTGCGGCGCTTTTCTTCAAGTGGTTGCCCTTTTGATGATCACCAGTGCAGTGCATGAGCCATTACACAACCATGGGTACAAAACATGGAAACCAATTATATAACCCTTGAGTCCATAAGGGCCTGGAAGACACCGACAGAGTTTATGCCTTAATTTTATGTTTAGGAAACCGTAATAAATGATAAAGACGTGGCTTATTACCGTTATACTTAAAACGTGATGTCATCATAGGCTATAGCCCTAACTACTTTGCAACAATAGTGCCACTGCGTGGTCAAGTATAGCCTCGGAAAAAACACGAGGCCTAATAGTTTTATATATTCTACTATCACATGTGTCTTTAAATGGTAACATAATCACTCCATGATTATGAAATAAGCAATTAAAATGCTTCAATCATGCAATCAAAAAGTTATACAAAAGTTTTAAATTAAATTTCAAACACATAACAAATGCATCCCTTCATGATGTATGTCAAATAGTATATGCAAGTCAAGTAAATAATAACAGACCAACTTTAATGGAAATTATTTCATTAATGATTGCCTTTTGAATCATGATAATGAGAATAAGAATGATGCAGAGTTCATGGCCGTCCACTGTGCCTCAGGCTGGGTGTTACGGCAGGCCGTCCTGTGTGGACAACGTATTCACACTGGAGCTCCCCAGGGGGTTCTGTAACCCAGGGGTGCCGACGACAGACTTCACGCTCGCCCTGTCCACACTCTGTGCGTCTATGTCAGATTCAAACTTGTAGCTCTCGATGTCGTTCAGAGACATTCCACCTTAGACATTAAATCAAAGGCCAAAAGAAAAATATAGAAAGAAGAACGCAGAGGGGACACTTGTTTACTGACTGCAAATTAAATCGCTATTATGCTCACACATATCATGTAGGTTAGTACTGTAACACATTGAATATCCAGAGTTTCATTAGAGTATCAGCGTACGGCTTTGAAACTTTGAGGCGCCTGAAATTTAAAAAAATAATTTATGATAAAAAACTGTAAATTACCTTACCTTGCCTACAGCAAGTCACATAGAATTGAGTCATCTAAAATAATAACTTACCTATAACTATCTTTTGGGGGATTTCCATGTCATTGTGTAAACCACCATCCTTTTTTAAAGGCTTTTTAACAAAGTCCCGCTGGAATACATTTTTAAAATATATAAGATTAACCGTTTTGTTAAAGGATAAGGAAAATACATCTGGCGATGAAAGAAGACTCCCCAACCTTGTTGCAGATAAACTCTGAAAGAGAGGCCGTCCATTGTCCTCTACATTTGCAAGAACTGTCAAATCAACACAGGGTGCCATTCACTTATCATGTGAGACAAATGCAAATAATATCTTTACAACATTTTACTCTATATGTATCTACTGTACCATGAGCTGTGTGTCCACTTGCAGTCAGTACACCTCCTTGTGTCCGTTAACTTAAAATAAAATAAAAAACTAAATTGAATAAATTGAACTAAATTGATGAGCACAGTATTGAACAGGTAGTATACACTCAAAGCAATTTGATCGGCTGGCCTTACCTGTGTGTCGTTAGCTTGGACGCTTCTGGTTTCGAAGTCTCGGTTCCTAGCCTCCTCCTCGCGTTGCATCTTTAAATGGTCAAACGTGCGGATCCCTTTGTGAACTACATTACCCAGAGGGAGGAGATGCATCACAGGAAGCTTATGAGAATAAACAAAAACAACCCTGTTGAATCATATATTGTTCAAGTGTTTAAGTGACACATGGGAGTAGTTCAGTACTGAAGTTGAAACTCACGAAGGTAGAAGTGGAAGAGAACCAAATGAAGGAGCATCAGCAGAGAGATGAGGCAGATCAGGATGGTGATGAAGGCCAACACCAGCAGACTAGTGGAACTGGCCTTAACTGGTGCTAGTGGTAAAAACATCAGCCAGGTGTTGTTGCCTCGTACATCTGCATAAAATATATTAGAAGAAGAGACATCAGATGTAACATGAATACATGCATACTCACTACCACAAACAAACATCAATATATAATATTAATAACACTGATCAGATATATGGTCACAAGAGAAGTGAGTGATTGTTTGTTGGTATTTACTATCAAACTGTGGGGCTGTCTGTAGGCTGTTTGGATCCAGGTAGTGTTGAATGAAGATGAACAAGACAACAATGAAAATCACCAACACCCCTGCTGTGGCAGACAGGCACGTTACAAAGAAGTACCTGAATGCAAGGCAAAGACAAGCACATCAACAACTCCCGTTGTTTTCAATATTGTTTTCCCTGGAAAATCAACCTCATATTCTTCCCAGTATGAGAAGCAGAACTGGACATCATATGCACACTTCCTCTTACCAGTAATTCCTGTCACCCACACAGTTGTTCAGCCAATTACAATGGTGGTCGAAGTTGTCCACACACTTGTTGCAGATGCCACAATGTTTCACTTTGGGCCCACTGCATGAAGAGATAGTGACATGAATATAATCATGCAACAGCAAATTAATATTATATATTCACTTAGGATTATTTTTTTCATATCTAGGTCATTAATGAGCAGGTAGGGCTTCTTCTTAGGCATCTTGCTCAAGGACGCCTACAGTGGGGTTTGAACTGAAAACCTTTCAGCTGAGTCAAACACTGTCACCATTAATTATTAAGATGTTTGACTACTATCCTCCTGCCCCAACCTAATACCAAAATGCACACATATTGCATTTGAATTATTTTTGGGATGTACATACACTTTGACGTCGCACAGAAAACAGCGTTGGTTCTGGATAACATGAGCTTGTTTCTTCCTATCAAAAATGGGCTTTGTTTGGGAGTAGTACTCCTTGGTCCTGACGGCGTCACACGCCGGGTCTATGGTCACTGCAGCGATGTGAGTCGCCATGTGGACCACAAACAATACTCCAGTCAGCTACACACACCAATGGTCAGGGAATCATGTTGCAATTCCATGTTGTACTAGATGTATAGAGATCCACAAATGTGATTAAAGGACTAACCCTATATAGCCCCAAAGTATTGAATGTAAACAGTAGTCTGACGAAATGATGTTCACCCGTTAAAATAATAAAATGATCGAGCACGACATCAACTACTGGTGGCTGCTGTAACACCATACTTAACTCTGGACAAGAGGGCAGTGATAAATCATTGTAGGCTATACAAGGAGAGGACTACATGAGACAAAGGATGTCTTGTCTCTGACATGACTAGCACCAACACAGAAAGCTTGAAAAATAAACCCACTATGAAAAGGCAGTGTTCAACTTAAACCAATGGAGTTTTTAAACGTTTGTTTAGGATACGGTGTAGAGAGCATAATTCCATGGCAGAGGCAGAAGAGGGATGAAGATGCCCAGGCTCACAATGGCCAGGTAGCTGAGCACCAGCCAGCCGGTCACCTGGTTGACTTCAGGAGGGCACGTCCATCCATTGACCCGAGTGGGATTGTGGGGAGCAGGCTCGGTGCTGCTGGCCGTAGGAGCGATGCGCCTCATCCCATAGTTACAGCGGGTCATCTGAAATGAGACGGAAGAGGATCGAAAAAAGACAACCATAAATTAACAAAACAGGCCAAATTAAGGACGGCGATAGTCTACTTGCACGCGTAGGCCTACTTGCCCTACTTTGCTTAGGAAACTAATGAGTAGTGATAAGGACATCCACTACAAAAAAAGGAAAACTGCCATGTTACTGGTCTTCATGTAGGTAAGGGCTCAGCTTTCTTGAATGAAAAAACAAAACAATGAGAATTATCCATAATGTGTCCTAGTCTATAGGCCTGTGATTTAAGGGATATGTGTCGAGCTTTCTGGGTTCTAAAATATCTAGTTTCGTAGTAGGCTACTTAATTGAATTTTGTTTCCAAGCAAATTAGCAGACGGTCCCCGGAGCTCCTCGATCGTTGGCTGCTGCAGACGGTTTTGCTGCGTCCACAATGTTGACTCAAAAGCGTGAATCCCACGGCAGTAAAACACGACCGAAATACATTCTCGTGAACACATTCCCTTTACTTTGATATGAATTATACACATTCATCATTTATTTTTCAAACACCGTGGTTTAAATAAAAAATAGAGTCAAAGACAAAAGTGTTTTTTGCCTAAACGACAAAAACAAACGGGTTAAGTGCGAATTAATAAAGGTTAATATCCCCTTAAAATTGATTTACCTTTGTCGTTGAATTTCACAATAAAGTTCCTAATCCACTCGCTTCCCATTAGATATGTTGCAGTGTTCTCAATAAACTCTCATTTCGCAGACAAATGGTGTTTTAAAACAAATTAAATGAAAAATATGGTCGCGCAGTACAGAAACTGCCCATCACAATTGCTCTCAATCAATTTTCCCAACATCAAAGAAAGGAAATCAGAAGTCAGATCCACCGTCACCGAAACAGTGCTATGGAAACAATAAAGCGGCCACTTTGCGCATGCCTGGTAGCCTACATTCAAGTGGATAAACCGCGGCTCTTGATAGGCTCAGTTTTCGGTTGTCTCCACAGGTTGGCCCCTAAGTAGACCGTCCTGGTGGACCCTGTTATCCAGACCGGAGTGCATACATGTGTAGTATGGGTGGTTCCGGTGGGAACCGAACCCCCCACCCTGGCAGAGTTAATGCCGTGCTCTACCAGTTGAGATAGTCAGGACCACAACACAAGTTGTGTTGTGGATCTAGTTTCATAGTTTCACATCTTTGGATTCTCAAATAAAACTACAAAGACATCTGAACATTTATGGAAAGATAACTGACTAATCTGTATGCAAAGACTCAAACCATACACAGAAAACCTAAAGCAGTAGCATAATAAAACTGTTCTATTGCCTACTGGTTTTTATTTGCTAAACAGTAGTGATGATATAATAAATCATCAATACAGCTCGTTATGCATTGCTTGTACCAAATTGCAGCTTGATGTCAAACATTTAGCACCAGGAATGCAATGGTTCAGAAAAAACATTTATTTTTCCGAAGTTACAATCAATAAAAAAGCAACAATAAAACATGAAATACAGTTTGTACAATTGCTATTGGCTGTAAAAAAAAAAAAAAAAATGCTCTACGGTTTACGTTTCCTTCAAAGTTGCACCAACTGCTTTGTGTGTGTGTGTGTGTGTGTGTGTGTGATCAGCTGTTGGCTGTTGACCCATGCTCTGGTGATTGCAGGAACTCGTAGGGATCATGCACCATCTCTGACTGGTCCCCCAGGTGTGATGGACTCCCTGAGGACAAGAAAAACAACACATTTGAGCAACTCTTCGGCCCTGTTCCCACCTGGTATTAACATGTGGTTTTGGAGATTCGATCACGAACAGACAGCTCTAAGTACGTCAGTCCACACTTGGTATTAAAATGTGACTTCACACGCGTCTGAGATCGGATCTCACGTCCCCGCCCTATATGCAAATAAACACATACATAATTTCTGCTTGAAAAAGAAAATGATATAATAATATACGCCATTTGGTGGCCACCAAATGCGTGGTGGGAGGCAGCAATGCACTCATTCAACAAAGAAGAAGAGATCATTTAAAACAAATCGACCAAGATGTTTGACCACGCACTCGCAATTTCTCTCCACGGGCTCTTCGAAGTTTGCTTACACAGAGCAGTGTGCAGCCCTTCAATGTCGCCAGGATCACATTTGCATTCCCACTGCTAAGAGAATGTGGATATATGCGGCCCAGACCACCTCCGAAAGATCGCAACGCATCCTCAATGCATCTTGGGTGCATTCACACCTGTACTTATAGCTGTCCACTTAAACACTGTCCAAGACGCATGTTAATGGCAGGTATGAACAGGGCCTTAGAAATATATATTTTTTTAATTGATCCAGTATTGAATATGTTTGCTTCAGTAGATTCATAATAGAGTTTAGGTCAAACCTACTCTGGTATGGTCTGTTAAAGTCAACATTCATAAAGCACACCGAATAGTTAACTGGTAAATAGTACCCCTTACTCTTTACCAAGAGTAACTAGTATAACATAAACAAGCATGGAACTGCAAAATACATCTACATGCATACATCATCAATACATCTTTGTGTACATCCTTGTACGTTATGTCTTGCATTGCAGACCAGGGGCCTCATTTATAAAACTCTGCGTGAAACCCTCCGTAGAACATTGCGTACGCCCAAACCTCAGAATGTGCGTACGCACAAAAACATTCCGATTTATAAAACCTTGCTGCGCACACCTGTACGCACTCTTCTCGTTATAAATACCAACGTGCGTCTAATTTGGCGTGCGTGCACGAGCGCTCTGCTCCTCCCAAGTCCATCCCTTAATAGTCCTTAAAAGGTCAATGCTAATTAATCACTTAATATTTATAAGTAGAAAGGAGCCTTTTCTGACCAATCATTAGACGGAAAATGGATGCACCTTTTAAAAAGAAAGCGCGTTTTTCGGATTCGGAGATCGAAGTGCTTCTAAATGAAGTAGACCAACGCAAGTCTATTTTATGGCTTATTTATCAAGCTCATTATTTAAATGTTTAAGTGATGCAGTTGGTCTGGCCGAGGATTGTGATTTGAAAGGGCTGTAGTGTGTTGAACATAATTTTGCTTTAATTCATATTTCATAATGGGTGCTTTTCATAAAATAAATATATAAATGAATAAATAACTCATATGTGGTGCGCAATGTGCGCTGGGTCCGCAATGAGCTCCGGGGGTTACAGCATCTTCTTCTTTTGGCGTTATTGTCGGTTTGCAAACGCATATAGTGCATTACCGCCACCGGCCACCCTCTTCCTGTGGTCCTCTCCGGAGTTCACTGTTTGAAAAACTTTGCGGGAGCTTTACTCCAGGGTGAAAGGATGCGTAGAACTGCGCACTCTTTTCCGCAAGGTTTTTTTCTATAAATCACGACGTTGGCGGTGAAAGATGCGTACGCACATTTCATCCCTGTTTCCGCAACATTTTCGTGCGCAGAGACCTTTATAAATGAGGCCCCAGTGCCGCGCTCAACAAGAGACAATAGCCAATGTGATGTGGTACCAAGGTGATGCTGGTCCCTCTCTGAGACGTTGGAGAGCGAGGACAGGTTGGAGGAGGGTCTGGAGCCCACACGGTCTGCCTGGCCCTCCTGGAACTCCTGCTGCAGGAGTTTGTTGGCATCATCAAAGTGCTGCTGGCCCTCCTCGTGGCCAGCCTCCTTCTTCACAGTTTTACCTGATGAAGGGGTAAAGGGTAGCAGATTTTTTGCACACCATATGAAATATCTGTTATTTAATGTGACATTTAAAGATATTTTGAATGGCAATTTTCTTTGTTAATTTTAAATGTTTTACTTGCACAAAATTAAAATTGTGTGCAATAATAATTGTTACAAATGTTTGTTCTATATTATTCTATTCAAATACTATAAAATGTGTATATATATATATATATATATATATATATATATATATATATATATATATATGGTATTGTTTCCTTGAAAACAAGACATCCATTGTGTGGGTAACCTACTTGGCAATAGAATTACATTCCGAAAAAATTACACCAAGAAACTGAGTTGAGGCAAACAACCATCAAAAAGTTGTATTACCTAAGGAGTTGAGCATGGATATATCGAGAGACATGTCAGGGTAGCTCTTCAGCGACATGAAGTCCAGCACTGAACTGCTCTCTCCTAGACCACCTCCATCTGTGATCTGAGCACATGCACAGTGTCAATCACATGACTCTGGATTGGAAAACAAATTCAAAGTATGCAAGTAGGATGTAGCATTTTTCACCTGCATATCACAGATATTTGCTTTGGTCTCATCAGATTTAGGGGTCATGTTTCTTTTCTGTGGAATAAAAATCAATACATGATTATCTTTAGCTACAAATCATGAAGCATGAGAACAGACTACAGAGTAGCAAAACTGAAAAGACTGAAAATGTTTATTTTTAATTCATTCATTTTCATCCACCTGATACAATTAGAAACATTGGAGTATTAGAGAGTGGTTAAGGTACCTGTCGGATTTGATTGACAGTTTTTGTGTGATCCCCTGCAGTCATCTTATCCAGAAGGCCATCCACCAAGCGCTTGGTGACACTTCCACAGCCTTTGACAAACTCCTGTATACTGTGAAACCAAGGTGCACAATGAATGAAACCTAAAATATTCTGTTTCTGTACAGAATTTGAATAAAATAAAAAAATAAATAAAAAAATACCCCCCCCCCCCCCCCCTCGTCGGTTGGTCCGGGGTGTGTTACGATCGCGCCACCCCCCCCGCCCCCCCGTCGGGCGTCGGGGGGGGGGGGGGGGGGGGGGGGGGTTGTGGGCCGGTCCAGGAGAAAATTGCTAGGGCCGAATTTTTTTCCCAGTCCGACGTGTTCTGGGCTACAGCCCCGGATCATTTCAATTGCTAGCGACGTCCATGAGTATCATCATGTAATCCATTGATTTCAACAATGTAACTGTATTCTAAATACCAAATATTTAAATTGTAACTGTAACAGAATACAGATACTCATAATTCATATTCTGAATACGTAACGCCGGTACATGTATTCCGTTACTCCCCAACACTGAACATAACACAGTAATATAAAACACATTGATTGGTTGCAGTAAGGACACCCACGTTATAAGCTTAGAGGAACCATCTTCCATAAGTGTTGTCATTTTACCAATCCCATCATAAAGACCAAGCCGTACCTTAGAGCACACTGTACCCCTGTGTCATCTCCATAGGCTGAGTAGAGCATGTCCATCTCATCGGGGAACAGGTCTGGGTAGATGGAGTTCTTCTGCAGGCTCTGTGTGTTGTAGGCACTACTGAGGAATGTAACTATATTGGGTTGGACAAAACATAGACAAAACATATTATGCAACAGCCTTGACATTCTGTGATTATTGTTCATTTAAATAAATATGTTCAAATGATGTAATCACAATGTCGATGACAAAAAAATGTAAAAGTACAATGCAATACCTTTGTGTCTCCGGTCGTCTTTGAAACCCAGAGTTGTTAATCCAGGCAACAGTTTATTGGATAGGGAACTAAGGTCAACTGTGTGGGTCTCCTCATCTGAGAAACATGATATATTCTTATTGGAAACACTGTGGAACAAACTGCAATTGGGAGTACAAATAGGAAAAGAGAGATGGAATTGTGATGGCAAACCTTCTGCATCAGGGTCAAGCTGATTCACAACAGTATAAACTAGAGAGCTGTCAGCTTCTTTACGCAAGTAGCCCATCTGAAAACAAAGATGCATAGATGGCATGTAACAAACCTCGACGACACTGAGAATTCAAGCCCTCATACAAATGGGTAGAATGTAGTGATGAATGGTACTATGTTTTCAAATACCAGTTCTGCAGAAGGCAGACATTTTAGGATCAGCACGTTTGCTTTTTTTATAGGTGCCAGGTGCAGCACGCTTAGGGCTGGGTGGTAAGTCTACCATGATGCACTTTATTAGTCAAGATATAACATAACAAGGTATGAAATGGTACTTTGAATCGAACAGCACACCACTAAGATATCCTCAAAATAGTACTCTTCAGATGTTTTACATTTTACAATAACGATTGTTTTTCACCCGATACGATAAACAATAATTACCTGCTTCTCATGGCCGATAAGCGATAAGATAACCGATACGTTAATAACCTGTAGTTTGTGACCAACCAA